GCACTGTAGGATGAGACTGATGAATGCGACGACGGACCACAACTCTGCGGGAATATCTGGACACCCGTTGACTGAAGACAGACTTCCCCACGAGTCACCCGCTGGCTCCTATCTAAGCTAGTAATATGGGATATGCGATCTCAATTGCGAATGCAGGCGATGCCCATCTGCCAAAAAGGCATTTAATGTGCGGGAATACATTGTGTGACTGTGACGATCGAAATACTTCCCAAAATTTATTAGGCCCAAAGTTAGATAAATGATTTGATGGAAATGTGTTCCACCTCATGCCAACCAGCATGCGGACGCCAATGAGGGGGGTTCCTTATCGGCAGCACATGGGCTGGGGTCTAACTTCCAATTGGGGGCTGGCGAAGAGAGGAAGAGGAGGGGTGGGAATTGAGGGCTCGGATGGGACAATAGATGGAGAAGCTGTCCTGCATTGACGACCGCAACCACAGGCACGAGGTATCAATCGTTGGCCAGGAATAATAATGAACCTAGAGGGAGAAAAAAAAAGTCCAAGGGAATTAAAAAAAAAAAAAGTCCAAAGGGTTTCAAAGGAAAGTTGGAAGTTTCCATTTGTTGAAACACTCACCCGTCTGTGGGAGAATCACCGTCATCACCAGGAGCAGATTGATGAGAAAGAATGCCTGGGCAGCAGCTCAATGCGATGACTGTTTCCATTCATCCAACATTCCAGCCAGCCAGCCAGCCAGTTCGAGACGGAACGGAACTTGGAAGGTACCTTGCTGGCTGCCCGGCCTACAGAGCGTGGATTGATCGGTGTGCGAGCAGTTCCCAGGAAACTGGGCGGGCTTCGTCCTGTAATGCAACCTGCACCACCGCAATCATTCGCACGGTGCACTTACACAACCCAGGGCGAGGTCCAAACCAGAACTCCACAGGCACTTGCCATTTCGAGGCGTGATATCGGCTGCCAATGAGTGATGCTTGACCTTATCAGTCAAGCCCTAATGAAGGTTGTGGGCAATTTTTGGGCAAAAGGGCAAATCTGCAAAATCACAGGGTACGATTGTGGATGCCATTTCCCATATGCATCAACGACACCTCTTCCGACCGACCCAGAATCCTTTCGGGGTCCTGGAAACAGACGGTGAGACTGCACAAAAAGGGGGATACTGACAGAAAAGCGCAAGGGCTTTTCTTTGTAGCCAGTCAAGCCCGGGCTGCCAAGGAGCACGGTGCAAATGACATGATGGCGGCGGTGGTCGCTGGTGTGGTCGGGTCTTGCGTTCACCCCCCAGGGCACGCCATAAAGAAGAAAATTGACCAGGGCTTGCGCTTGCCCTGCTCTGGAGATTCTGCAGGATCCAACCCTGTTGGGGGTGTGCCTGTCCCGTCGTGAGTCGTAATTGCCCATCAGCCCGGGCAGCACTGTGTCGACCTGAGGTACATCACTCGGTACCTACCAGCAAGGTGTCGGTCCAAACAGCACACTGCCCTGCGCAGCGCAGGCACAAGCACACGCACCTACAGCAACGGTTTATATTATTAGCATGGCCTCCCAGTTGGACTCGCTCATCCTCCTTTCTCTTCTTGATCCTGACAAAGCAACAAAAAACGCGACTTTCTAATTACTTTGACTTTACCTTTCGAGAGAGAGTCAAATCTCTTGTCACAGTAGATCATCGCCGTAGCAGCAGCTTCACTCTGCCATTTTCGCCATCGCCGACTCTTTGACCGTGTCCCCTTCGGCCCAAAGACCGTAGCTTTTATACTATTAAAGGCTGCGCATTTGCTTCGGACCTTGGTGAGTTGTGACTCAGATCTTTCCATATCTACTTGTGTTGTCGCCCGGCCTGCTCCGACTCCACAGATCGCAATAAGACAAGACACCCGCCGAGTGGCGCTCGCGACTAGCAGCAGCAGTCCCGTCCACGATATGTTTCCAAATAAGCGAAACGGTCCGTCATCGTCATACCCGATCAGGATTGCTAACACACGGTGGCGGCGCATCGCAGAAACGTCCCGAAGCAACTCAACACCACCAACCATCAACATGGCGACCATGGCATCTGCTGCTCGCGATATCGCGATGACCTCGTTTGGCCGAGACAACTTAACTGCTGTAGCGGCCCGGAGTGTCCCTGTGACAAGCCATCCGACCGACCTCCCCACCCCTCCAAACTCCATATCCCCTAATCTGCCTCCCCACGGCCTCAAGGCCCAGCTGCAGAGGGCGCGCCCACCATCCGTCGGTTCTGATCTCGACCTGCATGATGCTCACGACGACGAGCACAGTCTATCGGGTCCCGCATCGCCTTCTCTCGACGCGACCGGCGCCATCACCTCGGCGATGCTGGCCAAATGCCATCTTCCCGACATCCTGCTGGGCCAAGGCCCTTTGCCGATCCGCCATATCATGGGTTATCTGACGACCACGGTTCCAGGCTTCGCCGGGATCCCCCCGACCAAAGCCCGGAGACTAGTTGTCGGCGCCCTGGAGGGGAAGGGGAGCGGGGCCGAAGGTGGTGGACCGGATGGTGACGTGGAATTTGTAAAGGTGGGCTGGGGCAGGTGGCATGCGAAGCGGGTGAATAAGGGCCGGGCTTCGGCTCAAGATGCCCCATCTCGCCGCTCCTCCCCCGGCGGAACCCCTTATCCGGCAAGCAGCATTCCCATCCTCAGAGGAGCCGGGTGGAACCCGGACCGGTCTAGACTTGCGGTCCTAGGAACGAGCGCAGGCGGCGCCTCCTCTGCCGCCTTCTCCTATGACGACCGATACCATGACGACCACCACATGGACATGATGGATCACGAGGCCGACAAGATGTCATTAGACGGATCCGGATCGGCATCATGCTCCGAGGCACCCGACGACGACGACTATGCGGGGATGAAGGACGACGACCCCGAGGACGCAACCGACGATGAGGACTGGGCAGCCGTCGGTGCGGCGGCGCTTCGAGCGTCATCCTATCAGGCCCGGTCCAACAACCAATTTTCACCATTCAACAATGTACATACAACAAACTACGGCATCCGTTCCTACTCTACCGGAATAGCTCGCCCCCCGCAGTTCACCTCCGGATATTCAGCATCAGCATTGAGGACCGTGGCTTCTGACGCACAGGAGCGCGAAGCTGTGGAGGCCCTCCTGCAGCTTGGATCTGTGTAAAGAAAAAAAATAATAAAAAAAGAAAGGAAAAAAGAAAAATTCCTTCACCTACTTTCTGCATTGGCTCGGCGTTTTCAACAAAGTGGCGGGGCAACATTCATCAGCATTCATCAACATCCAATTGATACCGATCAGCCGAGACCTGTATGGCTCAATTGGGTTAAGGAATGGACTTGGGTTTTAGCGGTGGAGGGAGGTTGGAATAGTATTGTTTTACAGTTTTGGGCCTGGTTGCATCAAACAACGTTTTCGGCTTGCAGGTGTGGATTTTTGGGTTGATGGTGGTCTGGGGCGTCGCCTTGATGGTCAACGTCAACCAACTGTAAGGCAGGGCTGGGCAGGGGCATATGCATTTTCGATTCGAACAACTCACACACTCGACACGCGAGCACGCGAGCATTTACTACCACGTTCATTTTTCGTCACTCTACGAGCGCTCGGAATCTATTCATCTTCCGGCAAACAGTAGACAATTGGCGGCTTTCGTCATATTATCTCAACTCATCACACACACCGCTATTCCCGATTTCCCCCCCTGCGAGGAAGCTTTGGATCGTCGATTAGTTCCTTGCCTGGATCGGTCGACAGCGGATAAGTCTGGACCCACATCCCCGGTACGACCCGCTGTTTTGGGCGGTCCGGTAATCCACACCCGAAGTACTGGTACCGGGACGGAACTTGATGAGGGGTTCTTCTCGTTTTCGCACACAAAAAAAAATCGGAAAAAAAATCACTGCATTTTTATTTTTTTTTCTCTTATGGGTTCAAAGAAACCAACTCTTTTTTTATATATATTGTTTAAAGATGTTGTAATGATGGGATATGGGGTTTACGTTTTTAAACAAAAGAAAAACATCATGAAACCTTGAGCCCTTGGGATTCTTCCCTCGCGTGCTCGGTTTTGTTTTTTTTAAAGAAATGGAAATTCATCACGAACAGACGATTTTGAAGTGCGTTTGCTGCACAGAACATGAAAATACCCCTTTTCTCATATACTTTTCTTTTCTTTTGACTTCTATCCAATATTTACCCTTCTAGTGTCGGTAGTGTCAGGCACCGGCGGGCATTTAGTTGGAGGGGACTAAACACATCATCACCACGCGGAAACCGGACCCGGCCCCCGGGTGAGGTGGGTGTGGGGTGCTGAATGGTACCATCGGCTAGTGAAGGCGGAGGAAGAAAATCGCACTCCACTTGGTGTTTTTTTTTTTTTTTTGGTTTATCTTTGGTTTTGGGTTCCAATACCAACAATTCTTTTTTGCACATGTCGGTTTTAATCGTTTGGTCGTTGTTGTCATTCATCACGGATAATGGCGGGGTGTTGGGTTAACTGGCGGGGGGGAGTGAATGAAAAGGTTTCCTTAAAGTCATGGATAACATCGGAAGGGAAAGGGGGGAAAGGATTATTATGAAGGTTCATCACGGAGCAGTAAAAAGGGAGGTAAACAAGGCGGGGGTACGTGGCAATTCATGATGTCTGTGTACCCCAAAGTCAAAGAGGGGGAAAAATACCCTAAATTGTTGTTTGAAAGGTGCTGAATAGAAAACGCACAAAGAGCAAAAATAATAATAATAACAAAAATCAAAGGGCTTTTCAATGTCATTTTGACAGCCCTTACCTAACCTGATCACGTTAATATTTTACTCTTTTGGTTCCTAGACTATGAAATTAGGATTCTCGTTATCTCTAGAATCTGGGTTCTAAATAGTAGGGGAAGGTGAAACTGAGGGAGAGAGAGAGTGTGTGTGTGTATATGCGTGTGTGAGAGAGAGAGAGAGAGAGATCTATCCTTTTCCCCTGAATATCTATCCAGCTAGTAAAAAAGGGGGGAAATTTGGCAGAAAAACAAAAAGAAAATGCGGTTTGTGTGGATCGAACACACGACCTTCAGATTAAACTTTTTTTTTTTCCCCTTTTGCACAGTTTCCAAGTTTATAAGAAATGAATGAAGTTATAACCTCAGTCTGACGCTCTCCCAATTGAGCTGAACCCCCGGTTTTTTTGGGGGGTTTTTTTTTTGCTTCAGATACTTGTGAAATTTTAGGGTTTTATACAGAGCATTGATTTTATTTTTCTTTGGGGGGTTTTAAACAACGATACAGTAATAAGGTAAAAAGAGTTTCAAGTTATTAGAGGGATGGAAGTCTTCCACGTTTGGAGGAATTTTTTTGAGATACATGTAGGGATTATAATTTTTTTACTAAAAATCTATAAGTAAGTGTGATGGTGAGTTTATAGTCCAGTAGATATTCAACCTTAACTTCGGGAAAGATGTGAAGGGGGGAGATGAGGGCGGGAGAGATGAGAAGGCGGGTGAGGATGGTTATAAGACGTTGTCTTGATAACTTGAATGCTGAAAGAGTAGGTTGCAATTCGAAGAGGGGGGAGGGGGGAGGTATATAATGGAATACGATACGAACTGAGAGAAGGAAGGTTTATTTCATGAGGAGTTGGGAGACTTCGAAAAACAAAATTTAATTAAAAATGGGTAATTTCATGTGTATGCTTTACATATGGGGATGATATGTTGCGGATGAGATAGTTTGCCTTTGCCTGTATGGGGAAACAGAGAAAGACGGAGCAAGATGCTTCGAACACCAGGACGAATTCGTTCATTCCTCCTCCTCTTCTTCATATATATATATATATATATGAGATACTTCCCAACTACAAATAATTATGGAACATTGGCGCCGAAGTGTATGCTTGTGATACAAATCTGGTAACAGGGGGGAAAGGATGTACACAGGCAGTCGAGCTGACACAAGCATTTTCCTATGGTCTTTTTTTTTTTCCGGATGATTTCATTATGACTACCTACTTATGTATTCGCATGCAACAACCTCCAATTCATACAATTTGCCAGAAGGTAATAACATTATTATGACTCCTGAAACGTGGTGGAATAGCTCATTAACCCCCTTTATAGCCACTTCGACCTAATTTATACACGTAACAGAGTTTATGCCTTCTTCTTGGCAGCAGCGAGCTTAGCCTTCGCGGCCTTCTTCCTGTTGCTGCGAATCATGACCACAGACAGGAATGAACCAACGACGGCGGAGCCGAGGAGGACGAGGATGACGGGGATGCGGATGGCCCAGACACGCGGGGGGAAGAAGTTTTGGAGGGGGTGGTCTGAGTCGACAAAGGGCTGGGACGTGAACAGATGTCAGTTGGCTGAGAAGCCCAGATGAGGAAGGGAGGGAATCAATTACCATCAACAGAGTCCAGATGGTGTAGTAGAGAAAGACGACCGAGGCGGCCACGAGCATGGCGAGGCCTGTAATTTTGTCGAGCTGGAACAGGACACGGTTAGATTATTTGAATGAAAAACCCTCCGAGTTTGGGACACACACCATTGTCGAAAAGGGTTTGAAGTCGGCAAAACAAGGAGCGGATCGAGTTGGAGTATTGTGAAGGTGAGCTTGTCGTCTGCTGTCGCAAGTTGGCCTGAATTGACGAAGCAGTCGTCCCCAGTGGGACTTGGAGATTCAGGGACGCCAAGTTGTTGCGCCACGGTACCCAGCAAAAAAAGTGTCAGGGGTTCGCGTTTCGCGCTGGGTGGCCTGCAAAAAGAACACGCGGTTCAGCCTCACAGCGGCACCCCGGCAGGCAGTAAAGTGGGGCAATCCGTCACCAGCCTCGCTTCTACCTGGAAATCTTTGGTCGTGTTGGTTTTGCCAGTGGAAACTTGAATGGTTTGCAAGTCGCAGCTGCTCTGCTGTTTTCCGCGAATAGCATCAGCGTTTCATTTCTTCTCCATCATCCTCTTTCTCGATTTTCATCTCCGTTCTCCAATTAGGAGTTCTAACTATAGAAAGGGGAGGGAGGATAAAAGAGATGGCAGCAACACCAGAGGTAGAGTCGCCGTCGCGACAAGACGTCACGAGAGGGTCAGCGTCCCCAAGTGACAGATCTCAATCGCCCATCTCCAAGCGCGAGCGCTCATCATCTCGAGATGCCCACGATCGTTCTCCGTCTCCTCGCCGTAGCAGATCACCATCTAGAGGCTCCCGCGATGGCTCAATCCACGACCGACGATCCCTTTCGAGAGAGGAAGGCGACCTCACCCCAAACCGGGACCGATCACATTCAAGAGAACCCCGGGATGCCTTAACTCCCCGCCAATACTCACGCAGCCCATCGCCACTTCCCCGAGATCCGCCATCTAGAGACTCCCGCGATCCCTCTCCCCGTCGTAGCCGATCGTACTCGAGAGATCGAGAGATGCGTGACGTCTCCCCAGCTGCCCGAAATCGATCCCCATCTAGAGACTCGCGCGATATCTCTCCTCCTCCTCGTCGCAACTTTCGCGATGGCTCACCCCCTCCCAGAGACAGGTCCCCCAACGGTTATGATCAAGCCAGAGAACATTCTCCACTTCCGAGAAGACCTGCCCCCCCTCAGCGGCGAGATGGCCCTGACAGATATCGCCCTGTCAAAAGAGAGCGCACTCCGCCCCCAGCGCCGCCAGCCAAATCCGAGGAGGAGAAGCTGGCTGATGCAAGAGCAGAGTACCAGAAGCTCCTGAACCTGCGCAGCCAGGGTGTCTACCTCCCTCCCCAGAAGCTGCGCGCCCTCCAGGCAGCCATTACCGACAGGAGCAGCAAGGAATATCAGCGCATGGCTTGGGAGGCTTTGAAGAAGTCAATCAACGGTCTCGTCAACAAGGTCAACACGGCCAATATCAAGTTCGTTGTTCCCGAACTGTTTGGCGAGAACCTGATTCGCGGTAGGGGTCTGTTCTGCCAGAGTTTGCTCAAGGCGCAACATGCCAGTTTGCCGTTCACACCCATCTACGCATGTCTGGCTGCGATCTGCAACACGAAGCTGCCCCAAGTGGGAGAGTTGCTGGTCAAGAGGTTGATCATGCGGTTCCGGAAGGCATTCAAGCGGAACGACAAGGCCGTTTGTCTTTCATCTACCATGTTTATTGCCCATCTAGTGAATAACCAGGTGGTACACGAGATGCTGGCTGCTCAGATCCTGCTCCTGCTCTTACAGAAGCCCACGGACGACAGCGTCGAGATTGCGGTTGGCTTAATGAGGGAGGTCGGGTTGTTCTTGGAGGAGATGTCGCCGCCTATTGCCCACGCTGTTTTCGAGCAGTTTCGAAATATTCTCCACGAGGCCGACATCGACAAGAGAACTCAGTACATGATCGAGGTGTTATTCCAGGTCCGCAAGGACAAGTACAAGGACAATCCGGTCATCAAGGAGGAGCTGGATTTGGTTGAGGAAGAGGACCAGATTACTCACAAGATTGGGCTTGACGACGAAATCAGCACACAGGATACTTTGAACATTTTCAAGTTTGATCCCGATTGGGAGGCTAACGAAGACGAGTACAAGAAGCTGAAGGCTGAGATTCTAGGAGAGGGAAGCGGAGATGAGGACGACGACGAGGACGATGAGTCGGAGGACAGCGAATCAGACGACGAGGAGGAGCAGCAACAAAAGGCGATCGAGATCAAGGATCAGAGCAATGCGGACTTGGTCAACCTCAGGAGGACAATCTATCTCAGCATCCAGTCGAGTGCCGATCCCGAAGAAGCGGCCCATAAGCTCATGAAGCTACGGCTTCCTGCCGGCCAAGAGCCAGAACTGGTATCGATGATTGTGGAATCTTGCGCGCAGGAGAAGGTCTACCTCAAGTTTATGGGTCTCCTTGGTGAGCGATTTGCACGACTCAACAGGATGTGGACGGAGCTGTTCGAGGAGTCGTTCGTCAAGTATTACACGACCATTCATCGTTACGAGACCAATAAGCTTCGGAACATTGCCAGGTTTTGGGGGCACCAGCTCGCCAACGACGCCATCGGGTGGCATGTTTTGTCGGTAATTCATTTGAACGAAGAGGAGACGACGTCGGCCAGCCGTATCTTTATCAAGATCCTCTTCGAAGATTTGCAGGAGAATATGGGGACCGTCAAACTCAAGGGTCGACTGAGCGAGGAGACTCTAAAGCCGAGCTTAGAGGGAATCTTCCCCCACAATAACCCCCGCGATATTCGTTTCTCCATCAACTACTTTACATCCATCAAGATGGGTTTCCTTACCGACGAGATGAGAGAGTTTTTGGCCAACATGCCGAGGCCAGAGCTGCCTGCTCCGGCCGCTGCAGATTCCGATTCGGAATCTGTGTCGAGCTACTCGTCTTATTCCTCATACTCTTCGCGTTCTCGTTCTAGGACTCCACCCCGCAAGGTTATCGACCGCGGACGTTCCCTCTCTCGCACTCCACCCCGGCGGACGAGGGATGATTCGTACAGTCAAAGCCGCAGTCGCAGCCGCAGCCGCAGCTACTCACGCTCTATTTCACGGAGACGCTCTTATTCGGGGTCTCCTGTTCGTCAAGGACGTGATGACCGATCCATTTCTCGATCTCCTGTAAGATCAGTACGCCGTGGCACAAGCAAAAGCTACTCGCGGTCGCTCTCACGTTCAAGATCTCCGCCTCCGAACCGTGCGCGTGGACGGTCTTATTCCAGGTCTGTTTCCCCTGTTGCCGGTCCATCTACGAAGCGTCGCAGGGACGATTCGTACAGTCGAAGCAGGAGCAGAAGTCTGTCCCGGAGTCCTTCTCGACAACGGCGTCGGAACAACTCGGTTAGTAGCCGCGGGGATCGTTCACCTCCAGCCCCTAAGCAGAGGCGCCTTTCGAGGTCCCCGTCGCCGGTTCGGAGAGACGCTAGACCCCGGAGGTCGTCATATTCCAGATCCAGATCCAGATCACCTGTCCGCGGTGGCCCTGCGTTGGGACCAGGAAGGTATCGACAGCGGGATAGCCCTCCACCTCCTCCATCCCGAGGGCGGGCAGCGTCCCCGCCAAGAGGCCGCGGAAGGAGCGCGTCATACTCGAGATCTAGGTCTCCTCCGCTTCCCAAGGTCGCTGGGGGAAGGGGCGGTGGTGGCAGGGACACTTACAACGGGAGACGGGATGATCGGAGCCCGAGCCGCAGTCGTAGCAGGACCCGGAGCCCGCTTCCTCGTT